GCAGGGGACTGGACTTGATGACCTCTCGAGGTCCCTTCCAGTTCTAGTGTTCTATGATTCTATAGCTGAGAGAAGCACTTTAAATTTGTCATTTGGCACAAATGTAAAGAATCAACCCCAGCCCTGGGCTGGAGACTGAGCTAGTGTATACCACTTACTAACACACAAGTGCAGCTTTTCTAAAATATATATTTCACTTTTTCTATTGATTTTGTTTAATTGTTGTTCCATATGTGTCATGTGTGTGTACTTGCTTTCCTTTCTTTCCTATTCCCCCTTACAATAGGGTTTTGCAGCATAAAGAAATCTGAACAACTATTTGTAGCTTCAGTATTCAGTCTGACAAGGCAACTGTCAGTTCAAAGTACATTCTTTCTCTCAAGGCATTACATAACCAATGACAGAATGGATTTTGTTTTCCACATTACCAGAAAGCTGCCAGCAAGAAAACTATTCACTGGAGGTTACAGCAATCAAAATACAATGGTTTAAGATTTTATTTTTTCCAATCATTACTTGACAAAACAAAAATAGATCTTTTTGGAAGAAAGCTTCATTTTAATTGTGATGTATATCTCTGAAGGTATGTCTACACTAGCCCCCTAGTTCGAACTAGGGAGGCTAATGAGGGCGACCAAAATTGCAAATGAAGCGCGCGGATTTAAATATCTCATGTTTCATTAGCATGTTCCCGGGCGGTTGCCATTTTGGAAATTGACTAGCCCGGAAGAACTGCTCGCATCTACACGCAGCAAAGAAGGGCGAATCTGAAATAAACTCCTTATTTTGAATTAACAGGTGAACCTCATTCCATGAGGAGTAACAGCTAATTTGAGTTAGGGGTTTACTTTGAACTTCCATTTCACTGCTGCCAAAAAGAGCCAAAAGTAAGGGTATGTCTACACTAGACCCCTAGTTCGAACTAGGGAGGCTAATGAGGGTGACCAAAATTGCAAATGAAGTGCGGGATTTAAATATCCCGCGCTTCATTAGCATTTTCCTTTGGTCTGACCCAGTATGGCCATTCTTATGTTCTTATCTAGCCATGCTACTACACTGCTGTGTAGGGTCATGCTAGATCAGTCAGAGCTACTGCTATGGAAGCTGAGTCAGTGAGGAGGACAATCACAGCAGCATAGCTGTACCCTGAATGGAGATGGTGAATATTTTTTAAGTGTAAACTTAAATGTTTGGGGGAAATGTAGGAAATGCACATGCACACACATGCATGCCCTCCTCCCGCATTGTTTCAGAGCTCTTAAAGTTCCAGAGTCTGGCCAGAGCCTTTGTCACTAGCACCAGTCCTGCCAGCTCTGAGCCACTCTGCTCCTGCCCCTGACCTAGTGGCACAAAATGAGCCAGCCAGTCAGTACCAGACAGCCATCCAGCAGTCCCCGGGAGCAATCCTCCAGCTCCCAGGAACCTGCCAGGGGCTGGAAGAGACGGGCACCTTCCTGGTCTAGTGCGGAGGTCATGGACCTTATTGAGGTTTGGGGGAATGCCACCAACCTCCATGATCTCCACACTAGACGCAGGAATGTGGCTGTCTACAGGAGGATGGCTGACAGCCTGGCCACCAAAGGCCACATGTGCACCCAGGAGCAGGAGTGCATGAAAATAAAAGAGCTGCGGCAGGCACATGCCAGGGCCACAGGGGCCAGCTCCCAACCCTACTTCCATGCCCTGGACCACATCCTGGGGAGGCAGTATGGTCCATTCCCCCCAGGTGGTCATCAACCCTGGGGCAGAGGGCCCTGATGATGGCATGGACAAGGAGGAGGAGGGCCAGGAGCTAGGGTCACCATGCCTCTCAGCCAGGACCCCCAAGCCATCCCCACGGACCTGTCCCATGCATTATCTGAAGCCGGGGAAGCAACATATGAGTGTCACCACTGCCCCCTTATGCGGGGCGGGGAGGGGATGGACGAGGGACTGCGCGCATGGGCCTTGCTGGCCACAGATCATGCAGCAATCTGTGCACATGTGAGCATGTTCCATGCCACCCCTGGTCACATGGCCCCAGCTGACTGCCACACAGGGGCCTTGGCCTGTTAGAGACAAAGGTGTGTAGAGAGACATGACATGCTCCTGACCCCAGGGTGGGACATGGCAGGATGCCCTCCCTCTACATGGAAGCAGGGAACATCTCCCCCCACCCCTTCCCACACACACACACACAGATATACAGCACAGGGGCATGGGTGCAGTCTCGGGGCAGCTCCCACTCCCAGGGATAGCAGGACATCCCGAACATGGCCTGTGTGCAGAGAACTGTCATCCTTGCCTTGCAGAAGGGGTCTGGTCTTCATGCACTGTGTCCCCAGGGATAACTGACCACTTCTCTTGGTTCTCCACAGCTGCACCAGCTGCGAGTGGAGGGCACACCACACCACCTGGAACATCCTCTCACACCTGAGGGCTCCTCAGGCATGCCCGTACTTTGGACGACTACCAGCGGCAGCATCTGGGGTACTGCAAGCTCTGCACCACATCCTTGACCACTGGGTAAAGGAAGACCTGCAGCTCCAGCGGGAGAGCTGGTGGGAGCAGCTTGCCCAGGGCCTTGCCATCTGTGCCCATCTGCAGACCCTAGTGCAAAGCTTGCTGCCTTTTACCGCTCCAGACTCTGCTGCCTCCCCAGCTACTGCTCCTCCTCCCGCTCCTTCTCCCTCCACACCCTCCCCACCTCCCCTGGGATGCCGAGGCCCCTGCAACCCATGGTGCTGGGCACCAGTGCAGCCGCTGCCACTCCAACCCTGAGCCCTGAGCCTCTCCTCCACCTTCCTCCCCTTTCCTCCCCCTTCCAGCACCCTCCTCTCAGGTTTCCCCCTCCCTTCTTCCATCTTTTCTCCTCCCATCTTCCTCCAATCTCACCTAAGTTTCATTTCCCCTCCAGCTTTGTTGAATAAACAGAGTTTGGTTTCATGAAAACATATATCTTTATTTTCCATCAGGAAGGGGGGTTAGGGATGACTTTTAACACTCCTGTCATCTGAAGAAGTGGGTTGTGCCCACGAAAGCTCATGATACCATCTACATGTTTTGTTAGTCTCTGAGGGTAAGTCTTCACTGCCATCCTAGTTCAAACTAGGGTGGCTAATGTAGGCATTCGAAGTTGCAAATGAAGCCTGGGATTTAAATATCCTGGGCTTCATTTGCATGTTCCCGGGTGCCGCCATTTTTAAATGCCCCGTAGTTCGAACTACCTGCCCGCGGCTACACACGGCACAGACTAGGTAGTTCGAATTAAAGCTCCTAATTCAAACTACCATTATTCCTCCTGCAAGGAAGGAATAGACATACCATTTCCTTATAGACATACCCTCTGATGCTGCTAGACTATTCAATGTTTTTTTAATGTGAAAAAAAGTTTATAACAGTTCTCAGTCCATTAGTCATCTTAAAAGACTGACACAGTTTCCACCCCTTTCCAGCTCCTCGGAGATACAAATGGAAAGTAAGGTAATGTGGCCATGTTTTGAGAGCAGGCTGCACTTTCTAAAAGGAAATGCAGGAGTTATTTCACAGCATGCCTTGCTTTGCTTAGCACATTCAGAAGCACGTTGCCTGCCTGTTCTGCAGGCAGGCTGCTGCTGGAACTAATGGCCTTCATAAATGAAAGGCTAATCGTATTAGCTAGAGCTGTGAATACATAAGGCGTTAGTGTAGTTTCATCCTACTTTTACACTAGTGTAATGCCACTGATTTCACTGGAGTCACTCTTGATTTAAGCCACTCTGAAAAGAGAAACAAGCCCTTTTTCAAATCAAAACCTATTTTTAAAATAAAAACACTGAAATTATGAATTGAGTTAAGTTTGCCTTATAGACAATGGTATGACTAGGCCATATTTTGCATTGTTGAGGAACATTTGCATTTCTGAGATAATGTTATCTGGTCCTTTGCATCATTTATGTTTATGATTTATCAATTGTGCAAAAAGCAAATCCCTTATTAAAGAGGAGTGAAAGAGCCTACGTTTACTTCAATCATCTTTCCATGAGCTCATTCTGAACATTAGTTATTCTATGTAAAATATATATTTACTGTTACATTGCATTTATCCACTTTTTCTGAAATGTATGAGAAATACTATAAAACGTGTCTGGAGTGGTGCATGTGTATACGTTGGGATGGAACTGGAGAAATATGATAGCCGTGATTTGAAAGAAAAAAGCTAGTATATACACTGAGTAAAAATATAGCTTTGTGACTCTTACAATATTAAACTAGGTAGCTTTGTTAAACACCACATTTCATGTCCATAATTATTTTAGACCTATAAAAGCTGAACAAAATATAGTTGTACAAAATATTCCCATAGCTTGAACCTCAGGAACATATGTTATAATCTTTCATTAGTTTACATTACTGTTAGAGATGATAATCAATGTACAGAACTATTCTTGCCCATGTTTTCTTTTTGTTTTAATGTTGCTATGTGTTGTAGAAGTCCATGGGATTACTGAGGGTTGGAAGAGACCTCAGGAGATTGTCTGGTGCAACATCCTGCTCAAACCAGGACTAATTCCAAATAAATTATCCCAGCCAGGGTTTTGTCAAGCCTGGCCTTGAAAACTTTTAAGGATGTAGATTTCACTATCTCCTTAGGTAATCCTATTTCACCACCCTTTTGCACAAAAACTTGAGGAGCATCCACACTACAAGCGTGTTTTTGAGCAAGAAAATTTACAGTACATCTTAAGAAGAAGGGAGTTACTCACCTCGTGCAGTAATGATTGTTCTTCAACCTGTGTCCCCCCGTGGGTGCTCCACATCAGGTGTAGGGACCTTCCAGAGCCTCAGAGTGAAGCTTTTCCTAGCAGTGCCTGCAAGCCACAAATGCACGAGGAGAGCTCATGCTGTCCTCTTTCATCTCGTGTGAACTGCTCACCCACCCTTCAGTTCCTCTTCTCCACTAGCATAATTTAGGACTCCAAGTAGAGGGGAGAAAGGGAGGGTCATGGATCACCCATGGGGACACACACCTCAAAGAACAGTCATTACTGCACAAGGTGAGAAACTCCCTTTTTCTTCTTTGGATGATGTCCCTGTGGGTGCTCCATGTCAGGGAACCGGCAAGCAGTATCTGATAGGATGGTGGGAATCAAAGTCACTGCTTAGAGGCTGTAGATAGCACTGCTGTTGCCAGTGCTGAATTGGCAGACATTTGTGGCATAATCTCTAGCAAGGGTATGGTCTGAGGATCATGTGGCTGCCTTGTAGATGTCTTTGAGTGGTACGTTGGTGAGGAAGGCTGTTGAGGTGATAGCTGCACAGGCCATGTGTGCCCTTGATGGAGTTGGCAAGGGCTTCTTGTGGAGTGCATGACAACGCAGTATGCACAATGAGACCCACTTGGAAATGTATTGCATAGAAATAGGTGCACCCTTCGACTGTGGTGCGTTGGAAGTGAACAAGTGAGAAGATGTTACCGGTCCTCCAAAAGCTCATGAATGGATTTACTGGTCCCTGTGTCAAAAACTTTGAGAACCCCTGGTGTAGTGGTTCATCCCAGTGGATGAGGAAGGCGTCACCATGAGATCCTCTGCCTAGATCGTCTCTCAAGCAAAAGCAGGAACACTTGGTATTGGCTGGAGTCGCAAAGAGGTCTGTAGTTGGGACCCCCGCCCCCCATTGGTGGAAGATAGAGGTGATTATGGCCAGGTGTAATTCCCATTCATAATCGCAGTTGAAATCTTGACTCAGGGTTTCTGCCCAAACATTGTTTATTCCGGGTAAGTATGAAGCCTTCAGGGTGATAGCATGTTGGATGCACAAATTCCAGAGGCGGGTGGCTTCAGCGCATAGTAACGGGGAGTGAGCTCCCCGCATCTGTTTATGTAAAACATGGTTGTCATGTTGTTAGTAACTATGTGAACAGTCTAGTCCATAATAAGAGGAAGAAAATGGTTGCAGGCATTCCTCATGGCCCTGAGCTCCAGGAGGTTGATATGCAATGACGATTCATGTGCCCACCACCTACCCTGAACTATGTGATGAAGTAGATGCGTGCCCCATCCGATAATGGAGGCATCTGTAGTAATCTGCATGGATGGTTGAGGCTGGTGGAAGGGATGCCCGTGAGAAGATTGGGGGGAACTGTCTACCGTGTGTGTGAGTCCTGTACCCTCTTGGGGAACACGGTGTGTAGGGAGTGGAGACCTGGTATGTAGACTGACACTAGCCAGTGTTGTAGGGCTCGGAAATGAAGGCGAGCATCTTGTATGACATAGGTGGTAGCCACCATGTGTCCCATTGCTTGTAGGCAGGTGAGAACTGTAGTGGTAGGGGTAGTCCTCAATGAGGTGACAATGTCATGCAATGCAGAGAACCGGTTTTGGGAAAGGTAAGCTCTGGCTGTCAACGAATCAAGCTGGGCCTCAATAAATTCTATGCCCTGAGTGGGGACTGACACTGTGCTGAGTGAAGTAAAGCTTCCTTTTGTTTGTTTTAAGCCTGCCGCCTATTAACTTCATTTAGTAACACCTTGTTCTTATATTGTGGGAATAAGTAAATAACTTTTCCTTATTCACGTTTTCCATACCAGTCATGATTTTATAGACGTCTATCATATTCCCCCTTAGTTTCCTCTTTCCTAAGCTTAAAAGTCCAAGTCTTTTAAATCACTCTTCATATGGGACCCATTCCAAACCCCTAAAATCATTTTTGTTGCCCTTTTCTGAACGTTTTCCAATGCCAATATATCTTTTTTGAGATGAGGCAATCACATCTGTACGCAGTAATCAAGGTGTGGTTGTACCATGGTTTTATATAGAGGCAATAAGGATATGTCTACACTAAAGCACTAATTTGAACTAACTTAATTTGAATTAGTTAATTCGAACTAAACTAATTTGAGTTAGTGCATCTAGACATAAAAACTAATTCGAATTAGCATTTTGCTAATTCCAACTACCATGTCCACATTGAATGGACCCTGAACCGAAGTGAAGGCTGGCCGGAACCAGTGCCGCCAGGGCATCAGGTTAGGACTTAGAGTATGGAGCTGCTACCGCAGGCTAGCCGAGGGCTGTGCTTAAAGGGACCCGACTCCCACCCCAGACAGACAGTTCTCAGGGTTCTCCGCTTGCTTGTCTACCACGATGAGGGACAGCAAAGCAGTCCTGTCTTGAGTGCCCTCACTCGGCACATCACAGCACTCAGCCATCAGCCCGGCTGCACTTACCACAGGCTGCCATCCGGGGGGGGGGGGGGGGGGGGGAGGCGG